CTCGTAAATGTGAAGTACATGTCCATCACTCTCTCAACTCAGCCTAGTGCAAGCACTCCACCTCATTGGCAAGACCCACCCCACTAATAGGCCATAGATGAACACAACTCAGTCACCTCTAACCGGCCATGAGGTCATAAAGAGCATGCTCTGCCTATGGGAGATGACTTCCTTGTTAGACATGGATTTCTATTATCCAAGTCTTGTATCCCAACTCCTCGATGTACCATTATGAGCATAGTGCTAGCATGAGCAAACTTCTTTCATTATATAATCGAAAATGCTAAAATAAGAATGCGCACACTACATCCTTAAGGCCCACACACCCCTCCCACATACCGTGTCCCGCCCACAGTTATCCCCTCCCCACCCACTCTCTCTCTCTCTCTCTCTCTCCGGTGATCGGCGGCCACCTCCCCGCCGCCTGGCGGCCTCCTCGCGTCCGTCCCATCGCCTCTCACTCGCGCGGCCATGGCGGAAGCAACGGCGGCACCACCGAATCCGGTGGTGGTGGCGGCAGATATGGCGATGGATCTGCCGGATCCTGGCGGCGATGGATCCACCACTAGGTAGGCCCCTCGTCCTCCTCCTCCTCCTCCCGGATCTGGTTTTTAGGGTTCCGCGAGCTCTCTCCCTTCTTCCCAAACTCCGCGGGCTTAGAAGGAAAGGGGGGTTTGAGGAGGCAAGTAGGCCAAGCGGTGGGAATAGTCGATGGGGCGGCTTTGGGAGCCAAGCGACGGCAGGCGGTCGGGCTGAGGAGGCTCATGGAGCTGGAGAAGATGGCATCGGGTGAGCTCACCGGAGCTAGAAAAGATGGTGGCGGTGGGGAAGAGAAAGAGGGCGGCGAACCCTAGCGCCCATGGCAGGGGTTGGTGACCCGGGTGGGGGGGGTGAACTCCGTTTTTTCCTTGTTTTGGCAACCAAAAATAATTTATTTTCTAAAATGGAGTGTGCATCTGGAAATTTGATTTCCTGCACGCGTGTGCTTTAGTGTATTGCCCTTATATAATTGATGCACTATGGGCTAGCACTGTAGAAAAATAGATGTATGTATAGGGATGGTAAGCATTTAATTGATGCTTAGAAACTTCTTCTACAGTGCAAAATAGAAAACTATTATATTTCCTAGGCCTCCAAATTTTTAATTTAACCGTTGCACTTTCTTGGAAAAATTATTCGAAGCACAAACAACACAATGCAAGGTGAGTTTCCGGTTCTTGTTCTCGGGCCTAAGGTGTTTCTCCAGCAAGATATACAGCTCATTCATCTTTCTTTTTTTTAACTCCGTGCCATGTCATTTGGGTTCCGATTCCTCCTAGCTAGCTAGGTCTGGCCTTAGTTGGTTGTTACATGGTAATGGTGGCATTTTTGTCTCTTCCTTGGTAAAAGCATTGTGTTGTGTTCGATGAATTGCTCTCCAGGGTGGAAACCTATGATCACAAGCAAAGTTATCTTGCACTGCCATAGTTGGCCAAACGGGCTGCCCGACACGGCACTGGCACGGGCACGGCCAGGCATGGCACTACGCGGCACGGCATGTTAGCCGTGCCGTGCCGGATAATGCCGCCGTGCTAACTTAGCGGACCAGCCACGGTACTATCGCGACTTAGGCGTGCCGTGCCATGCCATTGGGCACGGCAGCCCGTAGTGCCCGTGCCGGCACTGGCACTATAAGTGCCTAACACTTCAAAATGACCAGACCAGAATATCAAGGACAATAACTTTATCATCTCAAACTTATACAATACTGACTCAAAGTTAAGTTCAGGGAACTTATCAAAGATTCTACCTTACAAGTTCACGATCACAGGATGTTAAGATCACAGAAACTCACAAGATCACACAAACACAGGAAGAGATAACAAAATAACAATTTATTAGGAGCTTTAGTGCAATAGCTGCCTCATTAAAAACATGTCTAGATAAAACTCACCCTCGTGAGAAACCCTAGACAGGCAAAAAGAGTACAGCCCAACTCCATAAAAGTTCATTGTCCTTACATCAAAGTTCACAAGTCTAAAATATTATAGTCCCATTACATAAATGATCACTAAGACACTAATCAAGATAAAAGTTCTTCAAATGCTTCTTCAAGTTTCTTGTCCTCCACCATGTGTTGCAGCCTTGCTTCAGTAACCTCCCAATCTTTGATGCAAGTCAGCATCTCCACCATCTCAGGCATCGGCCTCCTCCGCCGCTCCTCGATGATCCTACCAGTCATACTAAAAGTAGATTCTGAAGATATGGTAGACACAGGAACAGTTAAAATGTCTTTAGCCATGATTGACAGCACTGGATATATGAGTTTGTGCTGATGCCACCAGTTCAAGATGTTAAAATCATCATTTAACTGGTTCACAGTGTCACAATCCAAGTAAGAAACAAGTTCAGAAGCATTAGAAGCTGAAGAAGTTACAGCCTGCAGCATGGCAGTTGCAGAAGTATCTCTAGCCATGCTTAGAGTAGCAGCTAGAGGATGCATACCACCGGCAGAACCACCACCATCATCATCATCATAAATTTCATCCCAAGCAGACCTTTTCTTACCAGACAGGTTAGGAGGGACAGTCCTCCTCAACCTAATAGCTCCATATTTCCCTTCATACTTATTGTAAACATCAATAAGTCGAGCTCTAGTGACAAGCTGGTAAGTAGTATAATCTGTACCAGTAAGGTTACCCAACCTCCTAAGCACTCTATTGAAACCTTTCATTTTAGCTCTAGGATCTAGGATGAATGCAAAAGAATAAAGCAAGGGTATGTCCCTCTAGTATTTATTATATTTGTCTATCATAGGTTGAACCACAGGTCTGATGTGACTGTCATTAGCATATTTCTTTAGGTGTATAGCAATCTTAACAAGATAATGAATCATAAGTGGAGATGTAGGATAATATACACCGCTGATGCAAGAACATTGAATTAACTGCAGTAAGGGATGATACATTGTCTGATTGTGATTCAATAGGATAATCTACAACCTCAATACTAAGATATTTATACAGCACAGGTCTAAGTTTACACATGGCAGAAACATTAGATGATGCATTGTCTAAAGTAACAGCAAACACCTTTTCAGTCAAACCATAATCAGTAAGCACAGATACAACATGGTCAGCAATGTTTTATCCATTGTGGGACACATCAATAAGCACAAGACCAAGCACCCTCTTCTCTAGTTGCCAATCAGAGTTTATGTAACGAGCAACAACACTAAGGTAGTTCTCTTTGGTATTACTAGACTAAATATCAGAAGTCAAACACACATAATTAGCAGCAGAAGAACTAAGATTCTCAATAAGCTTATCCTTGCGATCAGTGAAAAATTTAACCATGTCTCTAGTGATGGTTTGCCTAGAGACAGGAACTTATTTAGGATTATGAACAGTTCTAATACACTCTTCAAATGCATCAGTTTCACCCATACTGATAGGAACATCTAGCCTAGCAAGCAATCGAACAAGTTCAGTACGTGCAACCATAAGATAATACTCCCAATTACGCATACTACCATCAGGATTAAAAGAGATCTGAGACTGAGATATGCGATTTATTTTCACGCCTCCTGGGGCATTTATCCCTATGCCGGATGGGGTGACCATTGCCACCACTAGAGAGAGCAGAATATTGCTTAGAGCAATGGATGCACTTAGCGGCATACCTGACCTTCATACCATTGACTTTTTTGAAGAGCTTCTTAAAATCTAGCCACACTACCGAGGTAGAGGGACGAAAGCGCTTGGCGCTGTTCTCGTCCTCTTCACCTTCCTCGTCGTTTGCTGCCCCACCTTCTTGACCATCGCCGACATCAATGGGAGCCTGAGCGCTACGGCCGAACAGCTCCTCAGCGTCCTTGCGCAGGTTGTCCTGATCATCATCTCCGGCCAACCCGCACAACCGCCTCTCTTTGTTGGCTCCGACCTCAACCGTTTCGTCGTCGGAGCCGGGCATCGTCACTCGCCGGCGCCCTGGTTCCTCAACAGCTACAAAAAAGAAGCGTTGGTACAGATCTAGGGTTAGGGTTAGCAAGGATTAGCAAGTTAGGGTTAGGGTTAGGGTTAGGCTTACCTTCGCAGCCGGGGCACCAGAATCGCCAGCGACGTTGATGAAACACGGATCTGTCCCTCTGGTTCCTCAATGGATTCAAATCTGGAGCATCAGAGCAGCCGGCATCCAGTGAGGTCGACGGATACGAAGAGGAGGACAAGGAGAGGACGAGGCTACATTGATGATGCGAGATCAAGAAGATGGGGGGGGATACTATGCCGTGCCGTGTGCCAGTGCCGGCCACCGGTGGGGAGAAGAAGAGAGGAGGTTGGAGGCGGGAGAGGAGTCGTCATCGCAGCGAAGAGAGCTAGAGAGGAGAGCGACACAGAGAGAGAGAGAGAGGCGCTCAAAATGAATTAGGGTTTAGGTGGGATACGGGGCGACAATGGTGAGGCGATTTATATACCCCTCCCCCTCCAATGGGCACATCCAACGGCCGAGAGGAGCAGGGGAGGCAGATCAACGGCTCTAAGTCGTGCCACAGCCGTGCCGGCCTGTTAACCGTGCCGTGCCTGGGCCGGTACTGCGGGCCGAAATGGCGGCCCAGGCATGGCACTACGGCCGGGCCATGTTAGACACGGGCAAGATGCTAACCAGGCCAGGCCGTGCCTGGGCCGTGCTTTTCCGTGCCGTACCTGGGGCGGCCCATCGTGTTAGTGCCAAATGGAAAAATATATGCACTGCCACGGTCCAGATCAGACTCTACAGATCACTAGCACTACCCAAATTCTATGAATATTTTAAAGAGGAAAAACAACAAAACCACAACTAAAAATTCATTACCAGCACTCATGCAAAATATAGTCAGAACAGATATCAATACCAGTTTACCACAGACACTAAAAGTTGCATCAGCAGCTAAGTTTATAAACTAATAAGACCTCTTGCATACTGAGGGAGCCTGAAGCCAAGGCATGCAACACTAGAAGCAAACAGCAGCTCGCACCGCCTCATCAGCAGAAGAACATCACTTCCTTCACATTCTCCTTGATCTGGGGGAGCCTGCGGAATGCAGCTGGACCACCGCCGGCTGCGGCGGCACCGCCACTGACAACTGAGGTTCCATCGGTGCTATCTTGCTCGTCGTAGTAGTACCTCGCGCGGAATGCTGCCAGGTGAGCGTAGTAGGCTGGTGGAACTGCATGGAGAGGAGGATCAGAATAAATATTCCAGTGCTAAACAAGGAACTCCAAGATCATCAATCTGGACACAAATAAAGAAAGAAACAGGAAAAGAAAACTAATCTCCCCAAGTAATGAAGTTGCAATACTTGGCTAATCACGCAAACAGATTAGTGAGACTGTTCGACTTACCAACAGAGACAGCGCGCGTGCAGCGTGCGTATCTGCATTTGCAAAACAAAAATAAGCTTGAGTTCAGATGGCAGCAAATATATTGGGTTGGGGAAAAAATATAGTATAGTAACACAAAAGTTGGAGCAGTGGTGAATGGGAGTCGGGTCAAGCTTACGTGTAGCACAGGCTGTTTGTGAGCATCTGCAGCGCATCAGCCGAGAAATGGTTCTCATCGTAGAGGACATGATAGTGTGTTGGCCTGCTTGTTCCCTGAAGAAATGAATTCACATTCAGAGTGACAAATATTACACAATCAAAAAGCCTGCGGCCTGAGTGTCTGACACACAAGGTGCCAAGTGTCTGACACACATACCTTAATTCCAGCATGGCTACAAAGGTAGAAATCAAACTCGCTGGGATGACAAATGCTGGTATCAACCACAGTTCCTGTGGAAAAAGAAGTCACAAATCAAAATCTACATGTATATGCTCAAAATAATATCATAATTATGTTAGAAGCGGAGATCTCCCTAAGATATAGTGTAGCTAGTGCGGTGGTTGTCTTTAAGCCAACCAGGGTCCAATTTTCACTGACTACTGCTGAAGCTAAGGTGGATGTTTCTTCTGCCTGTTTACGTTACTTTTATAAATTATATAAACAAGGATGAAGATCATGGTACTAACCAGGAAGAATGTTTCCACTTTTGTCAGTAAGATCTCTCCTTCCATGAACTTCAGGGAAAAGCCTTGTGTGGTGCCTTTTCTGTACCACCACAAATGTCACTGGGGGTAGATACCCATCTTGCATAGAGGCACAGGCCTTCCTGATTGCGTCCATTTCATGGAGCAAAACGTGGCTGAATTGTCCCTCACTTACACCATCCCTAAATAAACAAAACGAAAGTATTGGAAGTCATGAAGGCTTCATCAAATAGTTATGTAAATAAGTCAAGCACATACCTGTAAAATATAATCCTTTGGGGCTTCCGGCCAGTCCTCTTATAGAATGAAGTCAGCAACTCTCTGCACAGCATAATTCAGCCGCACCTTAGTTTCAAACTGTCACCTCTTTCATCCAACAGTTCTCATGAACACAAAAGGATACAAGTTACCTTATCATTCCACCGTTCACTGGAGTGCCCTTCTGTGGATCTGTACCAGTCCAGAAGAGATTTTGTATAATCTCTTCCCTATGTGCTTGTGCCGAGACCAGTGCTTTATATGTTGTGACCTGTGGCCAGTCCATGGATGCAACCACCTGCAAAAGGTTATACCATCTATTCCGTTACTTTGTGTCGCAACATTTCCATTGGCAGTAAATGTTCAAATGCGCAGTGAAAAATTCTTTTAAATTACTATAGCATTTGAACGAAACAATTGTTAGCAGAGAACAAGAAACTGACAGCTGCAATAGAAGCCGAGGAAGAATCTTCTCCTGCTGTAGGATGGGTAACATCAGCACCTAAAATGATTGTTGGCACATCTGAGACAAAAGGTATTCCATTAGGCACAAAGGCTCTCTCAAGCACTGTATTGCGCCCTCCGACCTGATAAAAGGCAGAATAAATTTCAATTTCCATAACAGCTCAACCACACAAAAGAGAAGAAAGCAGTAGACAGCACTGACCTTCACATTGATTTTAAGGGCGACATTTTCAAAATACTGTTTGTTTTTATTCTTCTTCGGATTGATGCACTGAGATACTATACCAAGGTCAGTCTCGCACATCCTCTTAATTTTCCCTACAAAATTGCACAACAATGAGTTTACTATGAAACCAAGCATAAGTGCCGCTGGAAAAGTACACTCTATGTTTGCTACACATACAATGCGATAACCTGCCTTGAGTATGCTACACATAATAACTTTCCAGATGTGTGTGCTACACAAAAGCAATATAACTTGCTACTGGTTAACTTTTCCAATAGAGTTGTGTAAAGAAAGTTTCCCATATCAACATGCACGTGATTTTATTTTGACAAAAATTATAAGTTGCAAAGTTTTTTCAAAGATGCACGTACCATAATGACCAGAAATATCTGGAAGAATCACAATAAGCAGCTGCAAATTCGGAGCCCTCATGTGAACATCCCTTAAAGCAGCTTCTATGTGGTTGGGCGAGTCTGACTGAACTTCTGTCACTGGCCTTGGATTGAAATCCTGAAATATCATTGACGTCAAATTCGACATGCCGTGGCTGGTGATTATGTTAACAACTATAATAGTATCCAGAAGCATATGCACGAATTTACCATGCCAATGGAATTGCACATCTGAGCCAGGTCCTCGCATATTCTGTCTACTACATGAAGCGGAATCCGCGAAAAGCTCAAACAAGTCCAGCTGCGAACGGTTCCACCATTGACCATTTTCTGGAAACAAAAGGTGAGAACCTCAGTAGGAAGACTACTCCAAATCCAACAATAAACAACTCTAGGAACCACCAAATATTTTGTTTGCACTTTTATGTACTTATATCAACGTACAATGAAAATGATCTTGCAAGAAAAAAATCAGATCAGGAAATTTAACTAGCCAACACATATAGAATCACCTTGTTAATCATATTCCATTGCCCCAAGCTTGGTGCAACGGTTTTCTCCTTTCCAGATTCATGGTATTTCAGCTGAAAAAAGTTGAAATACAGGTCATTCTTGGAATTATTTAAATAAAAGAGAAAACACAAATCATCAAACTGAGAATGTTGCATAATAGATACCATAGGTGGGGGCAGAACACGGGCTTGCACATTAGCCATCTGGTTGGCCACAGTGATCCCAAACACCTGTGCCATCCTATCAGCTGAATAGTTGTTGTGGCGAACCATCTATACAAGATAAACAAACATTTTACTCATGGCCCTTTATTTGATGTGACAAAACATCAGAAATAACAAAGGATCAGACAAAAGAGAAAATTTCAAAAATAAAATATTCAGTACAAAGCCAAAGTTAGCTTGGCCTATACCTTAATAATGCTATCCTCCCTCTCCTGAGGACGTTTACAGGTTGCCTTCAGTATGCTGGCCACCTGTGTGTCGCTGAGCTTCCTAGGATACCTCTGCCCTTCAATGATTTGGCACACCTGAAAAAACACATTATGCATATAACTATTGCATGGTGCACCAGGTGCTGTGTAGGAATCACAAAGATCCAAATATTACCTCCATTGGTAAATATATCGGCTTAGAATCATTGCCAGACTGCAGGCAGGGCCAAGCAGTGTAGCGCAACCGGTAATTGTACTGTTGTGCAAAGTACTGGACAACAGTCAACTGAGGGCCTTCGTTACAAGAAAAGCTGAAGACAAGAATTGAAATGAATAAGTTCGTCTTGGTACTAGACCAAACAGGAGGAGGGAAGAGATATGAACAGATGGATACCTCAGCTGAGCCAATGGAACAGGGGTAATCCCAGTTATCTTGTAGATGCTTCTTTTTCCCTGCTGGTGTGTAGTCTCAACACGAACTCCGCGCAGGGCTTTCTTAAGCTGAAATTTTATACATAGAGACAGATCAGTCGGTTACTGTAGTTAAATTGAATGTGTCAACTTTTGTTGACAAATGCTACCTTCAAACGATCCCTGTCCGAGAAAGGTTGGGAGGGGTTTGTAAGCCGAAGACAGTCAGCAACAAATTTTACCACAGGGATAGATTGGTAAAATGAGGTCGAGCATGTATCTGAAGAGGATATAAAAACGAAAACATATGCACATGGACATTGATCACATAAAAAAAGAAGGCCCCATCTACATTTCACTCCTCGTTTGGATCCTTGGAATTGAATTCATCGTAATAAATTTAGGCACATCTTAATTAAGCTAATATAGTCACAAAAAAATTAAACTAATATGGTTGTATATGAAATATGTTTTTATACTATTGTTAACCATGCAATAGAGATGCTTATCTGTTGCATTTCTACTAAAGGGAAGCGAGTTGAGGAGCGTGCTCTAAGTTGAAGAGTAGAAACATAACATGGTGGTCTATAGAATCAATGTTCAATCGAACCCCTCGATATTGAGACTCAATCAAAATCAAGTAATTCTTTGGTGCAATTTTGTACATGTTTATTGTTTGAATAAGATCATTTACCAATGTTCAAGGAGGGACCCATTTGAGTTAGGCGCAAGCTCTGGTAATATCCTCTCCAGCACTCTAGCCCACCACCAATGTCCTCCCCATCACCAAACTTCTTGGAGAAGAAGGAACGAGAAAGAGTGACATAACTGCAAAACAAAAGGAAATTAGTAAGTACATGGTTAGCAGCTCAACAAAAAAGGATACTGCAGAAAAGAAACAGTGAAGAAATGGCACTGATATCCTACTTGAGAGAAGGTGACTCTCTTAGGGCAACATCCAGTGCCTGGATTGTGTCATATGGCGCGTCCCTTTGCTGACCCTCGAGGAATTGCTGAAGATGGTACAGGTTTGGCCGTGCCGCATATCGGATTGTCACCTTGTACTCACTGAATTTCAGCAAACAAAATAACAGGATGTGAATTTCGTCAGTAAGCACCTGCAAGTCACAAGAGAGTGTACTGCACATAGGACACAGGAGTGGTACTTACATTTCCCGGCGCCCTAACTTGAGAACAAACTCCATTGATTTGAAGGGCAGCTCGCCTGCTGTGTACAGGCTCTTGCTTCCATCATAGGCAGGTATCTTGTGGGCGAGGGATGTTGCACCATGCACCTTGAGAAGCTCTGACAGAATCACCCTGTTGATTCTTCGTGCCTTTGGTTCAGGATTGATTAAAACCTGATAATGTGTATGGGTCGAATCAAATATGTATGGAACAAAAAACAAAAAAAAAACCCACCTTCCAATCAGACATTAATTAAGAGATAAACATCAAATATTTCTTGCATAATCACACAGATTTCAGCAAACAAAACCCAGGACAAAATCGAGAAAGATTGTTAGATAATCTACTGCTACCTTGTGTGAACACAGCAAGGGAAGGCGACGAAAGGCTCACCTACAGCACTGTAGGCACATGCAGAGGCCGGCGCAGAGTCAGCCATGTATGTTATCTAGTCACTATTGCAACAGGGCAGCTGTACTGGGACTAGATGGATAGAGTTGTATAAATAGACTACCATGGCAACTCAGTAAAGAGAGTTCAGATTTGCCATCTTCCAGACAGGGCTTCGGTCAACGCTGGTATCTTGTACTGTGTGTGCATGCTCTGTTCTCCCTTCTTCTTCTAGCTCTAGCCATAGTGTGTGGGGGACGGACAACGCTTGTTCGTGGTCGGCACGGTTAGTGGGTGCTTGGCAACACTAGCGGGTGCTCGACAAGACTGGTGAGTGGTTCACTCACCTGAGGCGGTGATCCTGTGGGCCAACAAGTGGTATCAGAGCCGTACAAGCACCGTCGCCTCACTAACCACCGGCAACGATGGGTGGTTCGGAGATGGGCGATAGCAGTGGCACTGCTGTGGCTGCCCAGCCACGACCGGAGGTCGTTGTTCGCACGGTGCGAGAGGTCAACGGCACCAGTTGGCCGACGCTGACTCGCATCAACTATGGAGAGTGGTCGGTGACCATGAAGGTCAAGCTCAGAGCCCGACGGCTCTGGAATGCTGTTGACAATGGCATCGACAATGAGGAAGATGACATGTCAGCGTTGGAGGCTATCCTCGCTGCTGTACCGGCGGAGTACAGGGAGCCGTAGGGGGCGAAAAGCTCAGCTAAGGAGGCGTGTGAGGCTATTGCGGCGATGCGCGTCAGTTCCGACCGTGTAAAGAAGGCGACGTCCTAGCTTCTGAAGCAGGAGTACACCAACCTCAAGTTCAAGGATGGTGAAATGGTGGAGGAGTTCTCCCTCTGCCTGTAGACGCTCATCAGCAAGCTGAAGAGCCATAGCGTCACCATCGACGAAGAAGAGGCGGTCTCCGAGTACCTCCACTCCGTGCCGGCAAAGTACATCCTGATCGCTCTCTCCATAGAGACGATGTTGGACTTGTCCACCCTCACCATTGAGGATGTGATAGGCCGTCTGCGGTTGGTGGACGAGCTCCTAGAGCAGGCGACAGCAACAAAGGACAGTGGGAAACTCCTGCTGACGGAAGAGGAGTGGGCTGCTCGGACAAACTTCGAGAAGGCAGCCTCCTCCAGTCGCGGTGGCGATGGCAACCGCCGCGGAAGGGCTTCTTCGGAGAAGAAGAAGCAGGTCGACCCCAACGCTTGTCGGCGTTGTGGGAAGATGGGCCATTGGGCATGGGAGTGCCCACATCGCAAGCAGGAAAAGAAGGCTCAGGCTCATCTGGCGCAAGCCGATGATGAGGTTGAGGCCACTATCCTGATGGTGACGTTTTGTGCACTGCACGACATCGAGGCCGAGGAGAGGGAAGAGACGACGATGGTGGAAGTACCTAGGACGGCCCTGAAGACCATCAACCTCGAACATGTGGGCGCCGATCAGGAGTAGCGGTGGTATCTAGACTTTGGTGCCAGCAACCACATGACGGGCTCCAAGGCATCCTTCTCCGAGCTCGACGACGATGTTACTGGTATGGTGAAGTTTGGTGATGGCTCAAGGGTGGCTATCCAAGGGCGCGGCACCATTATCTTCAGGTGCCAGAACGGAGAGCACCGCACGCTAACGGATGTATATTATATCCCGTAGCTGCGTTCCAGCATCATCAGCATTGGTCAGCTGGATGAGCGCGGTAGCAAGATACTGATCAAGGATGGAGTCCTTAGGATCAGGGACTGGGAGCAGCGACTTCTTGCCAAGGTGAAGAGGTCCCTGAACTGGTTGTACCTGCTCGACCTAAAGGTAGAGCAGCCGGTGTGCCAAGCGGCAAGGCACTCCGAGGTCAATCTGGGCAAAAATAACCGAGAACCAAACCGAAATAACCGGAACCGGAACCAAAGTAACCGAAACCGAAATATTCGGTCCCAGGTTCGGTTCTAGGTTCTGAAGAATCGAAATTACTACGGTTAATCCGGTTCTAGTGCTCGGTTAACCAAATACCCGAAATAACCGAACAGAGGTAAACCCTAGGTATAAATTCTGACTACCCTCACCCGCCGCCCCTTAGATCCCACCCCGCCTACCCCACGCCCCTATTCCCCACTCCCCTCCTCGCTGTGACGCTACCCCCAATCTCGTCGCTCCCCACTCCCCTCCTCGCTGCCCCCAATCCCGCCGCTCCCCACTCCCCTCCCCGGCCCATGAAGGCGTGAAGGCGAGCTGCGGTGGCGGCACATCACACGGAGGCGGTGCTCCTCGGCTACACGTCACGCGGACACAGAGGCAAAGCGCTTGTGTGGCTTGGCCATGGTGCATCCAATCTCCCTTCCCCTCCTTCTCTCAACTCTCAGATCTGGTGGCTCCGCCGCTCTGGCATGGCCCGTGCCTCCCTCTCTCTCTTTCGTCCTACATCCGACGGTAGCACGTGAGATAGGGAGCCACACGGTGGCGAGCAGGGCGAGGCAAGCCGTGCGACGGCGAGCTAGGCAAGCGGCGCAGCGGCGAGCAGGGCGAGGCATGGGCCATAGGCGAGGTGGTGCGCACCACGCAGGGCTGCAGGCGTAGGCGAGCAAGGAGACGTGTTTTTCGATCTGTAACCTAGAAACCGATGCTTTGTTCTTCATCGCTGCTGGAATTAGTGATTTGTGTTGCTCTTGTAACTTGGATGTGCGATTCTGTGAATTTTTTCTCTCTATTCCTAGCTCCTCGGTTAGTTCGGTCATAACCAGAACTGAACCGAATTAACCCAAACTGAATTTGGTCGGTTCCTAGATTTCAAAAGAACCAATCGGTTACTATTTCTTAAGGAACCGAATTTGTCAAGAAACCAAAGAACCGAACCGATCGGTTTCGGTTAACCGAAAGCCCAGGGTGACTCCGAGGAACCGTGGATGTGGCATGCTCGGTTCAGACATCTCAGCTTCGACGCGCTTTGTCAGCTGGAGAAGATGGTCCGAGGGCTACCCCACATCAAGCACGAAGGTGAGCTGTGTGACAACTGCCTGGCCGAGAAGCAGAGGAGGCTACCTTTCCCAAAGGCGGCCAAATATCATGCGAAGGACGCTCTCGAGCTAGTCCACGGCGACCTCTGCGGGCGGATCATGCCTGCTACAAACAGTGGTCGATGGTACTTCCTCCTGCTCATGGATGATTGCAGTCGCTGCATATGGCTACAACTCTTGACAAGCAAGGACGAAGTGGCAGCGGTGATCAAGAAGTTCAAGATGCGCGCGGAGGCCGAGAGCGACAAGAAGCTCAGCGTGCTGAGGACTGATCGCGGTGGTGAATTCACTTCGGTGGAGTTCGCTGCGTACTACGTGGATCAAGGTGTGGGGCAACACCACACCGCGCCGTACTCGCCACAACAGAATGGCGTGGTGGAGCGACAGAACCAAACGGTGGTCGGCATGGCCCGATCCATGATGAAGGCCAAAGGCATGCCGGCAAGGTTCTAGGGGGAGGTAGTGACCACGGCGGTGTTCATCCTTAACCGCGCTCCGACCAAGGCCCTGATGGGCAAGACACCGTTCAAAGCTTGGTATGGACGCAAGCCGAGTGTGTCCTTCCTCTGGACATTCGGCTGCATCGGCCATGTCAGGAAGACGAAGCTGAACCTCACCAAGCTGGAGGATAGGAGCACACCAATGGTGTTCCTGGGCTACGCGGAGGGTACCAAGGCATACCAGCTCTATGACCCACACGGAGACAAGGTACTTGTCTCGCGCGACGTCGTGTTCGATGAGAAGGTGGCTTGGGACTGGAGCAGTCCGAGCACGGGGGAAGATGGTGGCTTCACCAGCACCTTCGTCATCGAGCACCTGGTCATCCACGGTGGTGGAGACACTAGGGAAGAGGTGCCGAGCACTCCGGGAGGGGTGCCAATCACTCCAGCGGTAGAGCCGAGCACTCCTGGGCAGTGCCGAGCACTTCAGGAGGGATGCCGAGCACTCTGGGAGGAGTGCCGAGCACTCCTAGAGGGATGCCGAGCACGCCTAGGAGTGACGCCGGGACGTTCTGTAGTGGTGGCGACCACTCCAGGACGGGTGTTGAGCACTCCTGTGGTGAAGCCAAGACGTCTTGTAGTGGTGCCGACCACTCCAAGACTAAGGCTGGGCACTCCTACAGTGTGGCCAAACACTGCAGGAGTTATGACGAGCTATCCAGAAGTAGTACCGACCACTGCAACCAGGGTGCCGAGCACTCATGGTGCTATGCCGAGCACTCCGGTGGAACAGGGAACTCCATCAACGCCGATCGAGTTCGCCTCACCTCCAAGTGACATCACTGAGTTCGTGGATGCCTTCCACAAAGGTGAGGAGGTGCGGTTCCATAGGCTGGACGACATTGTCGGCGGCACAGGACCCTCAGGACTGGCTGGTCGGCTGCTCAATGACACAGAGCTACTGCTCGTCAGTGTAGAGGAACCACCTACGTTCGCGCTAGCCGAGCGGGACGGAAACTGGCGACGGGCGATGCTGGAGGAGATGAAGGCGATCGAGGAAAATGAGACTTGGCAGCTCATCGATCCACCTCCAGGATGCTGTCCGATCAGCCTGAAGTGGGTATACAAGGTCAAATAGGATGAGCTCGGCGCCATTGTCAAGCACAAGGCGCGTCTCATCACCCGAGGCTTTGTTCAGCTCGAGGGCATAGACTTTGAGGAGGTCTTTGCGCCAGTAGCGCGCATAGAGTCGGTATGTTTGATACTAGCCTTGACAGCAGCAAAGGACTGGCGTGTCCATCACTTGGACATTAAATCAGCCTTTCTCAATGGCAAA